ACAATTTTTTCACTCATTTCTGCCTCACCCTGTATATACATTATTTTCTTTAAATTTAGGAATAAGAATGTTGGATCAGCCTTACATGACCGACTTGATCGAGGCGAATTCCATGGGTCACGAGCCCGGCCTCATCGACATCTACAGTGCTTCATGGGGGCCCACCGACGACGGCAAGACCGTGGACGGCCCCCGCAACGCCACGATGCGGGCCATCGTGCGCGGCGTGAACGAGGTAACTCGATTTATCGTTTTGAGTGAAAAATTCGCCACTCGCTTCGTTCGTAGGGGCGCAACGGCTTGGGCAACATCTACGTGTGGGCGAGCGGCGACGGCGGCGAGGACGACGACTGCAATTGCGACGGTTACGCCGCCAGCATGTGGACCATCAGCATCAACAGCGCCATCAACGACGGCCAAAATGCGCACTACGACGAGAGCTGCAGCTCGACTCTCGCCTCGACCTTCAGCAACGGCGCTAAGGACCCCAACACGGGGGTGGCCACCACCGATTTGTATGGCAAGTGCACCACGACGCACTCGGGCACCTCGGCCGCCGCCCCCGAGGCCGCCGGGGTCTTCGCCCTCGCCCTGGAGGCCAAGTGAGTCCCCAAGTCACGTGTTGGAATTTTTTTTAAACGCTATTTCTATTCGTGGGTAAACATACCAAGTGAATAAAAAAATTTTTGCTTACAGTATTTATTTTTTGAAAAAACTAATTGATGAGTGATAAAGTACTATAAAAATGTGATGATTTAACAAGAATAAAATTTTTCGAAATTTCCCTTTGTTTTTGAGTTCTACAAAAAAAAAATTTTTTTTAATGGCAACCAAGAATTACAACTATCCGCTTTATATTTAATTTTTTCAAGAAAATTTTTATACATAAATTGCAAATTTTGTCAAAAAAATCGCATAACTCAAAAACAAAACAAAATTTCGCTCTGAAAATACGATCACATTTTTAATATTACTTTCATTTATATAAATTTCAAATCGTTTTTAATTAATTTAAATTCAACCTGTCTACTAATTGTTTGGAAAAAATGCAAAAATGTTGAGCTTTATATTCTTAATAAGCTGTAAAAAACGAACCACTAAATTTTTCACAATATGAGAAAAAAATTATTTAAAATTCAAAATCTGTGCTCCGTTTCATGTTTTTCAAAATTCTGCGAATACGGTCAAAGATACAAGAAAAATGTAAGAAAGAAAGTTGTAGAAAATAAAATTTTCTAGTAAAAAGTCCTCGACACCATTCCTCTATCTTTAATGGTTTAGGCCTCAAAGACGTTCAAAGAAGCTCAAGCCACGGATTCGTTTCATTTTTACTGGTGATTGAGTGCCGGGGGGACACTTTAAAGCAATTTAAGCCTAAACCGTTGATGATAGAAAATGGTGTCGCGGACTTTTTTGTAGAAAATTTTATTCTCTACAATTTTGTTTCTTACACTATTTTTGTATCTTTAACCATATTCGCAGCGTTCTTAAAAATATTGGGCGTAACGCAAACTCATAATTGTTTATAATTTATTTTTAATACTGTTTTCGATATTTTTGAAAACGCTGCGAATACGGTTCAAGATACAAAAAAAGTGTAGGAAACAAAATTGTAGAGAATTAAATTTCCTACAAAAAAATCCCCGAGACCATATTTCTATCTTCAACCGTTTAGGTTTAAATTAATTTTGTGTCTCTTGACCACCGGTAAAAATGAGCCGTATTCGTCGCTTGAGCGTCTTTGAACGTCTTTAGGACCTAAACCATTGAAGATAGAGGTATCATCTCGGGGACTTTTTTCTTGGAAATTTCATTCTCTACAACTTTCTTTTTTAAATTTTTCTTGTATCTTTAACCGTATTCGTAGTATTTTCAAAAATATGAGACGGGGCGCAAATTGCTAAATGTTTGATATTTTTTTAAATATAGTTTTCAATAAAATTTTTGCATTACCTTTATCTCTTATTATGGAGAATTTAATGTTCTATCTACCTTTTTTTATTTGCGTTTTGCTCACCGTTATGTAAATACAGCCATTAGTCCGGTCAAATTAGTCATAAAAATAGTGGTCAAATAACGAAAATTCCGACAGAGCTAAATTTTGGTGAAGATTTTGGGTACACCATTAGGAATAAAGTGTCAAAAGTCCCCATCGATCCCATGTGTGCTAAAAAAGTTATTCGGGGTGAAAAGTCAAAATTTGACGTTTTTAGATTTTTTTCGAAAACGGTAAGTTTTAYCAAAAAAGTAGCCCAGACAAAAATTATAGATCTTGAAATTATCTACAAAAATGGTTCTTATACTTTTTTTCTAAGAAGCACCATTCCTGAGATATCGCGATTCTAAAAGTTGAAGGAGTCACGTTTTACATGATATGCACATACAGAGTGCGCCAGAATTCGCGCCTCAAAGACAATGTAAGGTAAGGTACCAGGACATGGAAAAAAATTAAAAAAAAATCTATCTATAAAAATTTCAAAATTATGAGAGTTTAAATTTTGCAATTTGACCCTATTTATTTCTGTAGGAAAAATAATTTTCAAAGTTTTTTTGCTACAGGCTATTAGAAGCGCAAACAAGGAAGCTGTATCCTAAACTGTAACTCTGTTCAATGTTATTTGTGGCTTTTATTGGCAAAAGTTTTGTATCTTTACTAAATAATTGTAAAAAAAACATATACAGGATCATCATTATCATTAAATAGACATAACAAAATGTCAAATGTCAAAAAATAAATGTCAAAATTTTTTGATAAAATTTTTTAAACATTTTTTTCATGTTTGTGGTATCTTACCTTACTTGAAAATTTTCTCTGGGACGCGAGTTCTGGCGCACCCTGTATTTATAGTTTCTAGGTTTTAAATCTTGACAATTTTTATTTTTTGTGGTGTATTTCTAACTTTTCAATCACCCAATCTTTAGATTTTGTTGTCTTTATCATTAGATGTTGTAAAGAGGAGAACAAAACAAAATACATTGAGAAATATGAGTACTAAATAATTTTCATTGTTTTTGATTTTGTATTTTGGAATTTAATAATTCATAAGTACGCCACTGGTTGGAGACTTTACTTTTTTGATTTTTTAGTGGTTGTACAATCTCAAAACTGTTATTGTTCCAGTTTTGAAACATTTGCCCTTATTTTATAATTTTTGTCTTCAACTTTACTTTATTTTTTATACAGGATGCGCCAGAACTCGCGCCCCAGACAAAAATGCCATATAAAGTAAGATACCAGGAACATGGAAAAAATGTTTAAAAAAATGTATCTATAAAAATTTCGAAGTTATGAGAGTTTAAATTTTGCACTTTGACTCTATTTATTTCTGTAGGAAAAATAATTTTTCAAGTTTTTTTTGCTATAGGCTATTAAAAGAGAAAACAAAGAAGCTATTTTCTAAATTGTAACTCTGTTCAATGTTATTTGTGGCTTTTATTGGCAAGAATTTAGTCCCTTTACTAAAAAATTGTGAAAAAACATATACAAGATCATCAGTATCATTAAATAGATATAAAAAATGTCAAATGTCAAAAAATAAATGTCAAAATTTTTTGACAGAGAATTTTTTAAACATTTTCTGATATCTTATCTTACTTGAAATTTTTCTTCTACTTCATTAAACTTATAAATTGCATTAGAATTAAAAAGAATTTATTTGGTAATACATACAGGGTGTTTAAAAAATCGGGCACTTGGATAGTCCCCAGAGTACTAAAAAAAATTTAAAAAAATGCCATCTGTCAAAAATTTTTGACATTTATTCTTTGACATTTGACATTTTTTTATGTCTATTTAATAATATTGATGATTTTGTATATGTTTTTTTATAATTATTTAGTAAAGGTACAAAAATTTTGTCAATAAAAGCCACAAATAACATTAAACAGAGTTACAATTTAGGATACAGTTTCTTTGTTTCCGCTTCTAATAGCCTGTAGCAAAAAAACTTGGAAAATTATTTTTCCAATAGAAATAAATAGAGTCAAAGTGGAAAATTTGAACTCTCATAACTTTGAAATTTTTATACAAAGATTTTTTTTAAATTTTTTCCATGTTCCTGGTACCTTACCTTACATGGCATTTGTCTTTGAGGCGCGAGTTCTGGCGCACTCTGTATGTAAAACGTGACTCCTTCAACTTTTAGAATCGCGATATCTCAGGAATGGTAATTCTTAGAAAAAAAGTATAAGGACCATTTTTGTAGATAATTTCAAGATCTATAATTTTTATCTGGGCTACTTTTTTGATAAAATTTACCGTTTTCGAAAAAAATCTAAAAACGTCAAATTTTGACTTTTCACCCCGAATAACTTTTTTAGCACACATGGGATCGATGGGGACTTTTGACACTTTATTCCTAAGGTGTACCCAAAATCTTCTCCAAAATTTAGCTCTGTCGGAATTTTCGTTATTTGACCACTATTTTTATGACTAATTTGACCGGACTAATGGCTGTATTTACATAACGGTGAGCAAAACGCAAATAAAAAAAGGCAGATAGAACATTAAATTCTCCATAATAAGAGATAAAGGTAATGCAAAAATTTTATTGAAAACTATATTTAAAAAAATATCAAACATTTAGCAATTTGCGCCCCGTCTCATATTTTTGAAAATACTACGAATACGGTTAAAGATACAAGAAAAATATAAAAAAGAAAGTTGTAGAGAATGAAATTTCCAAGAAAAAAGTCCCCGAGATAATACCTCTATCTTCAATGGTTTAGGTCCTAAAGACGTTCAAARACGCTCAAGCGACGAAYACGGYTCATTTTTACCGGTGGTCAAGAGACACAAAATTAATTTAAACCTAAACGGTTGAAGATAGAAATATGGTCTCGGGGACTTTTTTGTAGGAAATTTAATTCTCTACAATTTTGTTTCCTACACTTTTTTTGTATCTTGAACCGTATTCGCAGCGTTTTCAAAAATATCGAAAACAGTATTAAAAATAAATTATAAACAATTATCAGTTTGCGTTCCGCCCAATATTTTTAAGAACGCTGCGAATATGGTTAAAGATACAAAAAAAGTGTAAGAAACAAAATTATAGAGAATAAAATTTTCTACAAAAAAGTCCGCGACACCATATTTCCATCTTCAACGGTTTAGGCTTAAATTGCTTTAAAGTGTCCCCCCGGCACTCAATCACCAGTAAAAATGAAACGAATCCGTCGCTTGAGCTTCTTTGAACGTCTTTGAGGCCTAAACCATTAAAGATAGAGGTATAGTGTCGCGGACTTTTTACTAGAAAATTTTATTTTCTACAACTTTCTTTCTTACATTTTTCTTGTATCTTTAACCATATTCGCAGAATTTTGAAAAACATGAAACGTAGCACAGATTTTGAATTTTAAATATTTTTTTTCCCATATTTCTCGTGAAGTATGAAACCAAGCGGTTTTTTTTTAATCATTTGCCTCCAGAAAATAATAATTTATATAAATGAAAGTAATATTAAAACTGTGATAGTATTTTGAGTACGAAATTTTATTTTGTTTCTGAATTATGCGATTTTTTTTTATCAGAATTGCAATTTATGTAAAAAAATTTTTGAAAAAATTAAGTTGTAATCCTTAGATCATAACTTTCATGAGAAAAATGGTTTTATAGTGGGTTGCCATTTGAAAAAAATTTTTTTTTTGTAGAACTCAAAAACAAAAGAAAATTTCGAAAAATTTTATTCTTGACAAAACATCACATTTTTAGCACTTAATCATTCATCAATTAGTTTTTCGAAAAAATAAATAGTTTAAGCGAAAAACGTTTGGTCCCATACTTTTGATTCACCTGGTATGTAGTTCTCCATAGCCTAATTTGACTGGGCTATAACCCAAAATGTCAATTTCAGCAACAATTTGACCTGGAGGGATGTGCAGCACCTCACGGTGTTGACCTCCAAGAGGAACTCGCTCTTCGACGCCAAGGGGCGCTTCCATTGGACCATGAACGGGGTGGGGCTCGAGTTCAACCACCTCTTCGGGTTCGGGGTGCTGGACGCGGGGGCCATGGTGGCCCTCGCCAAGCAGTGGAAGCCGGTCCCGCCGAGGTTCCATTGCGAGGCCGGGGCGCACCTCCAGGTCCAGAAGATCCCCTCGGCGAAGAAGCTTGTCATGAAAATCACCACCACGGCGTGTCAGGGGGAGAGCACCGAAGTCAGGTATCTGGAGCATGTCCAGGCCGTCCTCACGGTGAATGCCAGTCGGCGAGGGGACCTGGAGCTCTTCCTCACGTCGCCGATGGGCACCAGGTCCATGATTCTCAGTCGGAGGCAGAACGATGACGATTCCAGGGACGGGTTTACGAAGTGGCCTTTCATGACGACGCACACGTGGGGGGAGTACCCACAAGGGACCTGGGTGCTAGAGGTGGGGGCCATTTTACACCAGGTTAAAGAATGGGAGTTCTGACCATGATTTTTCACTGAAATTTGGTATACGCCCATAATCGGGCAAGCCCCACCCAAGGAGAGTATTTCCAAGATGGTGGCACTTCCGGTTATACCGGAAGTGGGTGTCAACTTTGTTATTTTAAATGGAAACTGTGTTTTTTTGCGTTTTTGAATTACTCAAGTGATTTTGAGAAAGTTTGTATCACACTTCCCTATACCTAAATTTAACCGTTTTTGAAATATTTAGACTTTTTTAAAAATTTTTGGATTTGCAACTGGTTTTTCAAAAATCAATAACTTTTAATTGTTTTGAAATTGTATTAAAATTATTATTAAAATTATTACCAAACCCCCAGAATTTAAAAAAAAATTCCTTTTGAAAGATACCTGAAATTATAAATTGTCTAGAACTAGAACTAGTTTTTACAATTTTTAACAAAAAAAACTCAAAAATACAAAATATAAAATCTTTTATATTTTATATGAAAGATTCGGGTTTCTACATTTCAACAAAACCGCATTTTTGACTCACCCTGTATACATTTAAAGTATAGTTCTTTTTAAGTTAATATTTCAAAAATTATTTTTTTTAAATACTTTGATTMATAATTTTTATAATTTTCTTGTTTTCAAAATTTCTACACAAAATTTTAAAAATAATAAATTTTTTAAAGCTACTGAAACTTCATTTTCTAGAACTAGAACTAGATTTTTTTATTAAATTTGTATTCATACACACTACAGTTTTTTTAATTTAATACCTACTTTAAAATTTTTTTGTTTTCTTAAAGATAGTTAAGTTTTTTAGTTTTCAAAATTTTCCGTTTGAAATGTTTAGACTTTTTTGAAAATTTTTGGATTTGCAACTGCTTTTCAAAAATTGATAACTGACAGTTTTAATTGTTTTGAAATCGTATTTAAGAACTAGAAAGAGAAATATTTGGGTTTCCTTTTGGTGTATTTAGAATTGAAAAAATTATTACTAAACCCCCAGAATTAAAAAAAAAATTCCTTTTGAAAGATACCTGAAATTATAAATTGTCTAGAACTAGAACTAGTTTTTACAATTTTTTAACAAAAAAAACTCAAAAATACAAAATATAAAATCTTTTATTTTTTATATCAAAGATTTGTGTTTCTACATTTCAACAAAACCTCATTTTTGACTCACCCTGTATACATTTACACTTTAAGTTAATGTTTCAAAAATTATTTTTTTTTAAATACTTTGATTTATAATTTTCTTGTTTTCAAAATTTCTACACATAAAATTTTAAAAATAATAAATTTTTTAGAGCTACTGAAACTTCATTTTCTAGAACTAGAACTAGATTTTTGTATTAAATTTGTATACATACAGACTACAGTTTTTTTAATTTAATACCTACTTTAAAAAAAAAAATTTCTTAAATATAGTTCAGTGTATAATTTTTTTAGTTTTAATATTTAAGGACTGGAAAGAGAAATGTTTGGGCTTCCTTTTGGTGTATTTAGAATTGAAAAAATTATTACCAAACATCCAGAATTTTAAAAAAATTTCTGAAAGATACCTGAAATTATAAATTGTCTAGAACTAGAACTAGTTTTTACATTTTTTTAACAAAAAAAACTCAAAAATACAAAATATAAAGTCTTTTATTTTTTATATCAAAGATTTGTGTTTCTACATTTCAACAAAACCTCATTTTTGACTCACCCTGTATACATTTACACTATAGTTCTTTCTAAGTTAATATTTCAAAAATTATTTTTTTTAAATACTTTGATTCATAATTTTTATAATTTTCTTGTTTTCAAAATTTCTACAGATAAAATTTCAAAAATAATAAATTTTTTAGAGCCACTGAAACTTAATTTTCTAGAACTAGAACTAGATTTTTTTATTAAATTTGTATACATTACACACTAGTTTTTTTAATTTCATACCTGCCTTAACAATTTTTTGTTTTCTTAAAGACAGTTCAGTGTATAATTTTTTTATTTTCAAAATTTTCCGTTTGAAATGTTTAGACTTTTTTGAAAATTTTTGTATTTGCAAACTGGCTTTTCAAAAATCGATAACTGTGACACTTTTAATTGTTTTGAAATCGAATTTAAGAACTGGAAAGAGAAAGTTTTGGTCTTCCTTTTAGTGTATTTAGAATTGAAAAAATTAGTAACAAACCCCCATAATTTGAGGTTAAGTTTGTGTAACTTCAAATACTCATAACTCATTTTTTTCAAATAGGAAGCCCTAATTTTTTTTTCACGATCTGGAAAGAAATTTAATTCTGCTTCGACCTATATTAGCATTCCCTATACCTATGTTTGATAGTTTTCAAGTTATAGTAACTTTTTTGATTTTGTGGGAAATTTACCATCCTAGATTGCCATGGAAATAAATTCAAATTAAAGTCACGGTCAATTCATAGTAGCCACTTCCCTGTGTAAATTTGTAAAAATTGAGTGGTGTAAATCCGACTTTTTTTAGATACTTTTGTATCAAAAATGACAATTCTAAAAAAATTGGGTTAGAAGAATACTTCACATTTTTGACAATTCTGCTACCAACATAGACCCAACTCATACACTAGAGGTGGCGGACTAGGGCTGCCAACTTTGCAACAAATTAAAAAAAATAACCGTTTTATTTTGTTTTTTAATGTTTTTTATTTAAATATCATTGTTAGAACTCCCAAAACTTTTGATGTGGTGGTGGGAACACCCTGTTTTGTAAAAATTTTCTTGTAGGCGAGTTTCAATTCGCAGTTGCCCCAGACTGGGTTTGTCAAAGAGTGGACTTTGATGTTGCACGGCACCAAGGAGCCCCCTTACACCGAGTTGTCGGTTTTGGACCCCCATTCCAAGCTCGCGATTGTGAAGAAGGCTCATGAAAATCGAATGAAGATGTAATTGGTCTCTTTAGTTCATTTATTTGTTGAAGATTTGATAAAGATTCATATATTTTTAAGTAGAAAGTAGCGAAATACTGAAATATTTAAATAAATCCATCAATCTCTAACTGTACTGTAATAAAAGCATGTGATTATACTTATGTAACAAGTATAAGATATCAAGTATAACTATTGGATTTTATTTTTACAAATTGTTGAGAGCTTATATTTTGTATAGCGTTTCTTCCTTCAAAGATATATTTCAGAGATTATTTATTACAGTGCAATTGTATAAAATTGTAAATTGTTTACAATATAAACTCTGTTTCATTTTGTCACCTTGTTTGCTTCAACTGGCCGGCGATTGTAAATAAAATTAGACATTTAACCAATTTTTACTGCTCGTTTTATTTTTTTTACAAAATCGAAAAAGTCTAAATGCACCTTTAACTAAAGGCCGATTCACACAACAAGTGTCATTAGTGTCATTCACAATTTAATCACAACAATAAGGACAAAAATCTTTAGGTTTGCCACCCTATTGTTAATTTTAATTATTTCTTGCCACCTGGGGTACACACTTATTTGAAAAAAATATTTTTATTTGCGTTGTTTGATTTTCGCATTGTTGCCAACTTAAAATAAACCCTTTAAAAAATCTCAATGCACATTAATAAGTTAATAACTATACGTCAGAAAAGATACACAATGAAAGGTTTTACTCATAATTTGAATTTAAATTTAAATATCTCGTTAGTTTTATACAAAATTTGAATAAATTAGCTCACACTAGGAGAGGTTGGTACCCACTGTTTGACAACATCAACATAACCTAACATTGCAACTTGTCAAAACGCAACTTTTACGATGGAAATAACGGAATCGGACGACCAAATGTCGGACTCAGACTCCGGGGACGACCAGGAGGAGCAGGTGAGGCCCCCACACCCCAATTAACGCCCCAAACCAATGTTGTTTTAGGCCCTCCTGGCCCGGGCCGAAGCCCTAGAACGCCAAATCTCCGACAACAAGTACCTCTACAACGCCCACGAGGAGCTCGTCAACTTGTACCGCAAACTGGGGGACTTGAAATCGATGCGTTTGGCTTACGAACGCTTCCACGAGTACTTCCCCCTGACCCCCGAAATGTGGCTGTCTTGGATCAACGACGAGCGCAAATTGGCCACCTCCGAGGGCGAAATTAAGCACATCTTCGGGCTTTTCGACAAAGCCGTTGAGGATTATTTATGTGAGTTTGGTTTTTTTTGGTTATTTTTGAAAAAAAAATTTCAGCTGTGAATTTGTGGGTGGAATATGCGCAATACTCGATTGGGGTGAGCACCCTGGAGACCACCCGAGGGATAATCGAGCGGGGGCTCACCGCTGGGGGGCTCCACGTGTCCGATGGAAGTCTCTTGTGGGACACCCTCCGCGAGCTGGAGTTGGCCCACTTGTCCCTGACGGAGACAGGGGGCGACGCGTGGAAAGCCCAAGTGGAGAGAATCGTGGAGGTGTTCCGGAGACAACTCTCGGTGCCCCTCCTCCACATGGAGAACACCTACAAGGAGTGGCAAGAATTTCTAACACAAGGCCCCAAAATCGATCCTGACCCCGTCGAGTGGGGCTATAACAAGGCCTTGAAACAATTAGAGACTTACAAGCCGTTTGAGGACAAACTACAAGTCACCACCGACGAATCCCAACTATTACAAGTCTACAGAGACTATATCAAGGTCCTGGGGGACCCCTCAACCATCTTGTGTCTTTACGAACGAGCCACGGCCCAAATGTGTCTCAATCCCGACATCTGGCTCGACTATTGTCTCTACGGCTTGAAACTGGGGGCCCCCGCTGAGAAAATCACAGTGAAGGCTTTACGTAACTGTCCTTGGAGCCAAGACTTGTGGATAATGCGCCTCCAAGTCCTTGAAACTCTCTCCAAGGACAACAGCGAAGTCGTGGCGTGTTTCGAGCAGGCTGTGGCGAATTTAGGGGCCCAATCGAGTGACCTTTGGCTCGCCTACTTAGAATACGTTTCAAGGACGTGTCACGACCAAATCAAACTATTCAAATCGTTCGAGCAAGCCTTGGAACAATTGAAATACCACGACGAGGGGGCCCTCAAACTCACCAAATGGTATTCACGGGTTTTGGCCAAAACGGGGGACATGCAAAAGGCACGCAACCTTTGGAAAACCCTCCTCAAGAACCCCAATCACAAAACCTTGGCCAACACATGGATGGAATTTGCGCGACTTGAAAGACAGTTCGGGGAGCCCCCACAAGTCAGGGCTATTTTCCAGAAAGCCCTAAGCAATTGCACCGATTGGCCCCTTTTTGTCGCCGATGAATGGCGCGAATTCGAACGGGAATTCGGGGGACTCCCCGACGTGCTTAAATGTGTGGAAAAACGCAAAGAAATCGAAAAACGAGTCGAGCCGAAGTCTATCGGAACGAAACGAGAACATCCGAGTGAAGCCGAACCCCCACCGAAGAAACACAAAAAGCAGGCTGTGGTCAAAGACCCGACTCGTACCGTTTTCGTCAGTAATTTACACACGAGTGTTAATGAAAAACGTCTAAGGAAATTCTTTCCCACGTGTGAAAATGTTGAAATCGTGGTCGATAAACGGGGGAAGTCCCGGTGTTACGGCTACGTACAGTTTGGCCTTGAGGAGAGTGTCATGGCGGCGTTGGCACGTGACCGTGAATTGCTCGACGGTCGCCCCATCTTCATTTCGAATTGCAAACCGAATCGGGAGGAGCGCAAAGCCGGCTTTAAATACTCCAATGAGCCTGAAACTAATAAACTTTTCGTTAAGGGACTCCCCCATGATAAGACACAGGAGGACATCGAGGCCATTTTTAGGCCTTTTGGGGCCAAAACCGTGCGTTTGGTGTTAAAACGCGACGGGAAACCGAAAGGACTCGCCTATGTTGAGTTCGAGGACGAGTCAAGTGCGAAAAAAGCCATGGAAAAGACCGATGGAATGACAGTTGGGGACTTTACCATCAGTGTGGCGATCAGTGCGCCCCCTGGGAAGAAACCCACCCCGAAAACCCCCCCAATGCGACATTCACGCAGCCGATTACAGATTCCTATGTTACCGAGGGCGTTGCAAGTCAAGAGTGCGACGAATGGTGACGTCACGCCGAAAACTAACGATGATTTCCGACTGTTACTTGAAAAATAAAACCGATTCAAACGTATTTATTCAACAATTCTACTACCTTTTGATACAAATGAGGCAGTGGTGGGGGCAATTTCACACACATTTCTCACATTTCTGGAGTAAAAAATATACCTTACACAAAATATTGCTTTTCTCTCTTTTATATACACGATTTTGTACTTGTTTGAGCAATTTTATGGGAATTTTCGTGAAGAAATGTGTGCGAAATGAAGAGATATTTACAAAATCAGAGTACCTCACAACTAAAAAAATTGACAAGCTAATTGCTACTCCTATCAACAATAAACATGATACTTTTACAAAATGTACAACCGCTCGGTTTATAAAAACTTCTTAGAAAACTACACTTTAAAATTTTGAAGAAATCCAAACTCTAAGTACTCATCAGATCATCCCATCAATGTTTTATGGCACAATTTAAATGTCATGAATCAACCTTGTTTGTAGTTTTATCACAGAGTGCGAAACTCTAATGAGATAATCCATTGGGAGAAAAAAAAAAAACACAATTTCATCCAATCATTAATATCACTCAACTATGACACTCCAAATTCACTCTAAAAACTAAGAATTAAACAACTACATGAAACGTAAAACCAAATCTTACAACAAAAAGTTTCACTCGAAATTTTGGCAATTTATTATCACATCACAACTACTTTTTTTTTGTAAAACTTTTTGTCATAAAACTGACTAACAAAATTTAAGCAAGGCACGAGTGAGACAACGCCCTCTAGTGGCTATACTTGAACGTTTCCTTGCTCTTTCTCTCTCTGTCGTACAGCGACGGCCGTTTCCACCAACAAGTACAAACATTTAAACTTGTCTTTGTCTTCTTCGTCGTTCGTACTGAGGGGGTCAGATTCGGTGATTTGATGTGCGGGCATGACTTGCACCTTGGGGGCGCTGAGGGGGTGCGGGAGCTGCGGCAAGTGGGAGAGCTGGGGGTGCGGGGCCGTCCAATACTGATTCGCCGTGATGGGGCCCTCGTCAGACCTAAACAAAAAAATTTATTCCATTATTTAGTTTATTGTTTAATTTAGACCAAGAGCAATAATGGGTAAATACCGATATGGGAAAATATTTTGTTAAATCGTTAAAAAAAAATCCAAAATTGATTGTAGTGATTAAATTTTGAAATTTGCTAAAATGCAATTGCAGGGATTTTGAATTTAAGTTGGCAATATTGAGTACATATCAGACTATTTTATAGCGGGTGACTGTAAATGATTGTGATTTTTTTACCTCAGGTTGGTGTCAAACAAAAATTTTAGTTTGGCAACCTTGACTTTCAAAATCAAATGTCAAACTTTTATAAACAAGTGTCATTTATTTGCGATTTAGCTCTCACTTGAAACGTTCTGATATAACAAATTAGAAGGATTAACAGTAATTCAGTGTTGCCAACAGATTTTTATGTCACAGACCCGGAAATTGCAGTGAAACAAGTCAAATATTTTTGGGTTATTTTTCTTCGATTTAGTCTATCTTTTCACGAAAATGTTTCTTATTTTAAAAGTTTAGTTGGGATAAATGCAACGAATTGTAAAATTTTATATTTTATGTGATTTTTGCTCACTTTTCAATAAAGATTGTGCTGGACCGAAGCTAGAAATTGTGAAATTAGTTTTTTTTTATTTGTTTTTGATTATTTTTATATCGTTTTTTTTATTGAAATTGAATTTGAAATTGTCAGATCTGCTTATAAATCTGTTATTTCGTTTGTTTCTTCGATTTGGTGCATTTTGTAACGAAACTTTTGTCTATTTTTTTAATTTCGTTAGTTTTAAAGTCATTTCTCAACAAAAAAAATACTTTTTCGGCTATTTCGTGTAATTTTTTGCGTATTTATTAATGAAAATCTAACATTTTAAACAAAATTTTCTGAATCGTTTAAAATAAATCCAAAATTGGGCACAAAATATGTTATTTTGAACAGTTTTATTAAAGATAATCAAATATATTTTGTCGAATCTAGTCAAAAAAAAAATCCAAAATTAGACTTTTGATAATTTTAATTAATAAAATAAAAATAATTCTCAAATTCTAAAATTTTGGTGAATCAATACAAGA